AAGGTGTATGAGTAACCAGCTGAAGAAGCGTCATCCAAGGGGTCAAACTTAACTTTTAATTTATTTAAATTCTAGTTCAAATTTTAGAACAGATTTGATTATATGTTTGTTTTCCTGAGTAAAAAATCTTTAAAATCAAGTACAAGATAAAGAGATCTCATTTTACACGTCGCATTTGGCATACATAGGATCACCCAGGGTGTGCAAAAGACAGAAAATGTGCAAAATTGTTAAAAAAGTGAAAAAGTGCAAGGTTATTTATAACAGGCCATCGTATCCCATTACCGTCAATGCTGCAAGTTACTGTGAAAATTATAATTTAAAATCATTTCAGGGGCCAGGAGTTTAAAATCTAAAAATCTAGGGGCACTGATAACACAAATTATTATTTAGTTTAGCTACTATTTTTTGATTATAGGCTTATTATAGGAGATTCAGTTTGATGTAAAAGTGACTGAAACCAAGTGATAGGGATGCAGCAATGAGGTAGACTTCCGTTCCAAGCTTCAAAAGATATATTGACTCAAAAAGTGATCCACCAAATGGTTTAGGAAACTAATGAAGGGTTAAGTATTAAGATTTGAACTGTGTCTAAAAACAAATGAACATAGGGACCACAGCTTAAGAGTGAAAGTCCATCAGTCTCTCCATTCTTAGCACTGATACTCTGGCCAGCAGCGGAAACAGCAGTGGAGCCTCCGTTCTCGTCTCTGCTGCGACCACACAGAAGCCCACTTTCTGGTACAGAGCCACGGCTGCCGTCTGTGTGGAGCTGGTCTCTAGCACCACCTTAGAGCAGCCTCTATCCTTACAGAAGTCCACCACAGTCTGTGTCAGTCTAAGGCCTAAGCCCATGCGCCTACATGAAGGAGAGATGATCATCCTGAACAGTTCCCCAAACCTCTGTGCCCCCTCCTCTCTCTCCACCACAGCCACAGTCCCCAGGATCTGAGCGCGGCCCTCCACCTCAGCCTCAGCCACCCAGAAGCAGTCTCCAGCCCGACTCATGAAGCTGCCACAGATGTCCTGCATGTCTGATTCTAGTCTGCTCCTCACGTAGCCGGCGTAGAGCTCGTGGCAGCAGTAGTAGACAATGCTCAGCCACAGGCCAGGGAGGAGAAGAGCCCCCGGCCACGATCCAAGGAAGAAGCCAGCAGCACAGAGGGCAGTGGTGATGAGGAGGTGGACACGGCTGCTCATGGCGTTGTAGAAGCATGGACCAATGTGCTCTTTGATGCCAGCACTGAACAGGTCACACACGGCGTCTGTGTCTGACGCCTGGAACTCACGAACCACCAACTTCATTGCCACAAATTGGGAAAGAAATGAAAAATGTCCCAAAAAAAACCTGTAGAATTTAACATGACTGAATAATCGACCCGACAAACTATACACTGCAAAGAATGTTGAAAAATAAGTCAAAGATTGCTCAAATTTTGCTAAATATATCTTAATTCGAGCACATTTTGACTGCCAATGGGACAAAGCAAATCTCTCGTTAAAAAAAAAAAGATACAAGAAATGTCTCCCTTGAAATGAGAACATAAAGTAGTAGTTCTTGAGATAAAACGACATGGCTTTGTCCCATTAAGATAAAAACACTCTATTCAAGCAATTACAGTATTACCTCATATTTGATCATTTTTTGCAGTGTACTTTTTAAAAAATTATAAAGTTTGAGTCAAAACGTGTGCATACCCACTTAATGTCCCGATGAAAGCCTTACAGATGACTTTAGTGATTGAAATGAACTGAGCAAAGTTAAGTCAGCTTTTACTATACCTTTTAACTAGGTTAGGCATTTACAGATAAGTTACTGTATGATGATTTGAAGTGCCACGAAGATAGCAGCAAATAAGGCATTCTTACACAACATGGTGACACAGAACTAACACAAAACCATCACTTTGTCAATAAGATAAGATAAGACAAGACAAGAATTCCTTTATTCGTCCCACAGTGGGGAATAGTTTAAATCTGTTTGAGGAAAAGGTTGGTGACAATCATTTGTGCTCAAGTTGCTCATCCATTGGTCAATTTTGTGATGAAATCAATTGTAATGTTTGCTTAACCTGCTATCTTATGTGTATATGTACGTACAGTATATAGGTATGTGTTTATTCATGTATTTATGTGTACACTGCAAAAAATGAAAAAAATATAAGGTAGTAAGTGGTTTTTATGTCAATTTAAACTTTAGAAATGACGTTACCTTTTAGACAGTTTTAAAATAAGATTTGCCAACGGGACAAAGCCATTTAGTCTTATTTCAAAAACAATTTTTTACATCCAAGAGAGATATTTCTCGTATCTTTTTAGAGCGAGATCATTTTGCTTGGTTTCATTGGCAAATCTTGTTTTAAAGCAGTCAGAATGAGCTCAGATTAAGATTTAGATTAAGAGATCCTGTATTTGTCCCACAGTAGGGAAATTTCAGAGTTGCATCACAAGTTATAGAACAGTAGGAAAGAGAAGCACACAGGGAAGCACAAGACAACCACAAGATTAAGAGACATTTTTCTTTATTTGAGTGATTGGACATCACCTTTTGCAGTCAATATTCATCTTATTCTATTGTGCAGAGGTTTTGTGGAGGAAAAAACAGAGCAAACAGACAATTTGTCTGTTTCTGAATCTATGACAAAATGTGACTCTTCAATGAACACACACAAACATGTAAAAAGCCATCCATACTTATCAACAAAACAAACAAACAAATAATACAGAAACACAAAAGAGTAAAGTATGTATCAGATTAAAGAAATCAGTTTCAAAAGAGGCACTGCAGATGTGTCCTGTTTTAAATTTTCATCACTTTTTGGGTGCAGCTAAATCATCTTTACCTTATATCTTAATCCGACAGCTCCCTCTTGTGTTTATTTTGTGAAATAACACATTGGTTCATGATTTTGTGGCCATACCCGCATAGATGTAGGGGCAGTTCTACACGGCCATCATCCAGTCCATCCTCACCTCCTCCGTCACCGTGTGGTTCGCTGGAGCCACAGTCAGGGACAAACAGAGACTACAGTGCATTGTGCGCTCTGCAGAGGAAGTGATCGGCCGCAGCCTTCCACCGCTGCAGGACCTGTACGACGCCCGGGTTCGGGGCCGGGCTGGTCGTATCACTGCCGACCCCTCTCACCCTGCACATGGTCTGTTTTAAACACTCCCTTCAGACAGGAGACTACGGTCCATTCGGACCAGAAGAATAGTTTCTTCCCCTCTGCTGTTGTTCTCATGAACACTTCATAACCCTGTCTCCCCGCCCTTTATAGTCACTTAACTGCCCTTTATAAAGCCACTTGTTCCCTTCATAAAGCCACTTTAGTGCTGTCACCTTACTGCACTACTCACTGCTTATTGTGTGCACCAAGTGCACTTGTATATTGTAGTAAATCTTTTGTTTATTTTTTTTATGTTTATACCAGAAGTGTATGCTGATTCTTACTATGCCATTACTCTATTCTTTACCTCTCTTCCTTGACTGTTGCACCGAGAGCCAAAGCAATTTCCTAGTCTGTGACTTCCTGTTACTTACATGGCAATAAAAATGATTGATTCTTATTAAGAAATCAAGATCCGTCAGACCTCTGAAGCAAAGTAGGGCAGGGCCTGTTTAGTACTGTGATGGGAGACCTCTGGGAAAACCAGGTGCCACAGTGGGACAGCTGTGGCTGTAAAGTGTCTAACTGTGGTTGTGTCCATGGGCAAGACACTTCACCCACATTAGAATTAGTCTGGTGTGCGTGTGTGAATAGTTGGTGGTGGTGGGAGGGGCCAATGTCCCATACTGGTTTTCTTGGTTCTGCCAGCATGCCCCAGGGCAGCTGTGGCTACAGTTTATCACCACTGTGTTTGGAGTGAAAGAATAATGACATGTGAAACGTTCCAAACGAGCGGTATATAAAACCAATTGCTTTATATCTTAAGATGACACAATATGATGATAACATATTCCATAATGTTATTTTAGCCAACAATAATGGTCCACTATATGGTCCCTGCAGGGAAATAAGTCCTCTGCATATGATCCATCCTGCACTGTCGCTGTGGGGAAACCTGTCCGGTCAGGACCAGAGATGGAGGACTTTATCTACACAACGTGTGATTAGATGCTGGGGGAAACCGGAGGGGACTCATTGAGAGACAGGTAGGAACATGCAAACTCCACAACTGCTGAATAGACTCACTTATAGGCAAGGTAAGTTTATTTGTATGGCATAGATCATACGCATTAAAATCCTAAAAAAATCACAGTAAATTAAAAAGAGTTAAGATAAAATCCCTCAGCTGTATGCACAGCTAAACAGAACCTAGATTTGAACATTGTCAGAGATGAAGCCTGTCTCACATTTTCAGGAAGACAATTCCGGATTTGATTAACAATAATACAAATTATTGGTTTTCATTACTGGTTTTATACAGCGTTCTTTTTGGACACTCAAAGTCGTGATTTTAGCTGCATAAATATGAAAGGCCTCCTCACGTTTAGTCCTGATTCTTGACATCTTTAGCAGGAGGCCAGTCTCTGTGCTACTCAATATGGCACCAACATGTCACAGATGTACTTTGGCGTGAGGCCATGGAGAGACTTGAAACAAACAGAATTTAAAGTCTATTCTTTGAGCCACAGAGACCTGAGGAGTGGACCGATGTGGTCGTACTTCTTGGCTGTAGTATTCTGTTGTATAATCCAATCCAAAAATCTGTAATATATTCACTTTCAGTTGCTCTGTACTACAGGTTAAATCTTCAACATGAGATTAATATAATTTCATGTCAAACATTCAGAATATAAATCCTCAGTACAATTCCAATACTGTTTAATGAGATTTTATCTTTTTTTGTGTGACTGTTCACTTATTTTGTATATACTGCTCACCTCATTCACTGTGTTGTAACTGGTAATTTTGCAACACTGACATTTCCCCACTGTGGAACGAATACAAGTTTCTGTGATTCTATCTTTTTACTCAATCACTAAAATCACTAAACACTTATAAATACTTTTCCATCTGCAAAACTGTTATTTGTGAAATGTGAGTGATCCAAAATCCAGCCGTGGTTTGTTTATGCTCAAGGACTTTTTTAAAGCCCACTTTCTGGTACAGAGCCACGGCTGCCGTCTGTGTGGAGCTGGTCTCTAGCACCACCTTAGAGCAGCCTCTGTCCTTACAGAAGTCCACCACAGTCTGTGTCAGTCTAAGGCCTAAGCCCATGCGCCTACATGAAGGAGAGATGATCATCCTGAACAGTTCCCCAAACCTCTGTGCCCCCTCCTCTCTCTCCACCACAGCCACAGTCCCCAGGATCTGAGCGCGGCCCTCCACCTCAGCCTCAGCCACCCAGAAGCAGTCTCCAGCCCGACTCATGAAGCTGCCACAGATGTCCTGCATGTCTGATTCTAGTCTGCTCCTCACGTAGCCGGCGTAGAGCTCGTGGCAGCAGTAGTAGACAATGCTCGGCCACAGGCCAGGGAGGAGAAGAGCCCCCGGCCACGATCCAAGGAAGAAGCCAGCAGCACAGAGGGCAGTGGTGATGAGGAGGTGGACACGGCTGCTCATGGCGTTGTAGAAGCATGGACCAATGTGCTCTTTGATGCCAGCACTGAACAGGTCACACACGGCGTCTCTGTCTGACGCCTGGAACTCACGAACCACCAGCTTCATTATCACGAGGAACTGGAAGTGAGATAAAACACACAAGACATAAGTCCCAAACAATTATATCACACAAAAATATAATAACATTACATTAATTATATGCCACATTGTTGACCCTCTATGGCATACTGTTGCCCCAAATCACCCCTTTGGCTCTTGACACTGGCACTTTTTTTTTTTTATGTCAGAAGACATTTTTCTGTTCAATCAAATCAATGGGTGTGGCCCTTTGTCTGGGGGGAATGTATGCTTTCTGGAAGCAGAGCTACATGTGACAAGGTGCCCAAAAAAGGTAAAGGGTGTCAGGTTTAAATTGGAAAACACTGGCTAAAATGTTTTTTTTTATTACTGTAAGTGACATGTGATCAGAGACCCATAAGCTCTAAATGGTAGTAGCAATGTTAATTTTCCTCTAAAAAGAAAAGTCATGCCATAGAGGGTTAATAATTAAAATGCTGGTTAAATATTGTCATATTCCATTCTGATTTGCACCTTAGATTAATCTAAAATATAATTTAAGATAATCTAAGCTATAGACATATATACAAATACTGCTATGAGATCCTTCATTCGTCCCACAGTGGGGAAATTTCTGTGTTGAGTTATAGAACAGTAGGAAAGAGGAGCCCACGGCACAGGTTAAGTGAACAATAGCCGTACTAATAAAAATAAAACAAAATCTCTAACTCTAGCATCAATAAAAGTATAAAAATTCAATCTTGAAAATAATAAAAAGTGTAAAAGCTTTACATTTGGCAAAATAAGAGGCAAGCTATAATCTGCATATCCATCACTAAATTCAATGTTTTTTTGTAAAACCGTAAATCACTGCAGCATCTTCTCGGAGGACTGATAGATAGAATGAAAAAAGTTGCGTCTGCTGATATAATATCATTGTTCTGGCGAAGCAGTCATTTCCTGAAGCAGTCACGGGTCAGTTTCATGGATGTGTAATATCGGTCTGTTAAATTCTTTTAGGTTTTGTACGTTTATTTTTGCTGTTTTGAGGTCAACATGTTTTCATTGATTTCAGAGGTGCGCCCTGATGAAGATAGAAATAACCTGTTCTGAAGAGAATATGTAACTTATTCATGTGTAAAATAACTTTATGATTGGTTCAAAGTCGCAAAATACACGGGCGGCTGCAACAGGAACGCACGCCTGTCTGAGCAAAGGTGGATCAGACAGATTCAATGAAAGAACAAACACAACTTAAAGAAACAGACGCTTTACTCACGTTCGATGTTTGGAGCTGCTGTTTTATCTCTGCAGCGGGTCCGAGACTGTCCGAGCATGCAGGGGCCCGGGGGCGGAGCTCTGGGGCCGAACTGGGACAGAGGCTATGCAAGTGCAAAGCAGTTACTAACCGGGGTAAAGTGACCCGGCTTTTCATAATGAGCGGTAAAGTGGTCCGCACATAATAAAAGGCGGGTGGCCACTTTGTGCTGTTACTTACGGTAAATGTGGAACCCAAGGCTGGACTGGGACAAAAAAACGGCCCGGGCATTTTTGTCTTCTTGGCGGCCCAGGCATGTTTTTTCACGTTTTTTACAGTTTGTTTATAACAGGGGTCGGCAACTCAAAAGGTTCAAAGAGCCATATTTGACAAAAAAACTAAAAACAACATCTGTCTGGAGCCGCAAAAAGAGAACAGCCTTGTATAAGGCTTATATGAAGGTAACACAGGCTGAAGTTGTATTAGCTACTGTATATCGGCCTATCTAAATGACAAAGTAAAGGCTACAAATATATAATAAGCATTGTTAGTATTAGATAGCAATATGGCCTACGTGCAGGACTCTACAAGGACTCTGATTATTTTGACTATGATGTGACTGTCTCTGTGTGACACGTATGTCTTTCCATGTGTGAAGTGACGGTGACTATATAAACTGTGTACGGACTCCATTCTGTCTGAGAGAAGGAAACAAGGGAAACGTGCTAGACAGGTAACAGCTAAGCTAGCTAGCTGTTTCATGGTAACTTCCGGGTTTTTTGCGATCGCTTTTTGTCACTTTAAAACAGTATTTTTGTCATGAAAACGTTAACAGCAAATTCTGAAATCGTCCGTGCATGTGTGTTAAGGATGTATATGTATACTGTATTGTCTGATTGACGTTCAATGGTGTTGATTAATAGATATGTAGTTGTTTATTGAGCGTGGCTAGCTACACTAGCTTCTCTCGTTGTACTTGCGGAGTAATGGCAGTATTTTACACACCTGAATTACAAACAGAGATTGCATTGTCAAAGGGCAGCGGTCATTATGGATTTGAGAGTTTTGTTAAAGAAAAAATGATCGGTAGAATTACATTCAAGTCAATGGAGTGTCCTACTGCTGCTGTGAGGAGCTGCATAATAAATTATAATTACTCGATTCAGATTCAGATTCATTTATTTGCCATTTGCAGTAAAACCACATTGGAAAACTGTGCAAGACTACCCCGGTGTGCGCCAGACAGACGACACACACCAGAGCTCTTGCCACGGCGCCATCGATTCCGGCACCATGCGACAAACAGTAGAATATGACAGTTATACAACAGCAGAGAGCAAAACAGACACATATTTCAACAAACATGGGAGAGACACGGTACATGTGGTAAACATGCGGATCTTTTTGAAGGGAAGTCATCACTCTGGCCCGCCTCGTCCAATATAGCGCGTCAGAGGGGAGTGTGGGTGGGGGAGGTGGAGGGGAAGACCACCGAAGACTGAAAAGAGGGGGGGAGGCAGACATGTAGAAGGCGGGGGGGACTGTAACTGGTGTTCTGGGTTGTGAGTATGAGTAGAAAGAGTCCAGTGTCGGCCTTGAGTGGCCGGGTAGCAGGAATGTGGAATGTGAAGGACAAAGATAGCGCAGGTGCCTGCAAACATTGGAGACAAAACAACACATGCTTTGTGGGAAATTTGTATAAGCACTTTAGCTGATTCAATGAAAGGCAGTGTAAACTAAAGCCAATATGTCCAAATTATACTGGAACTGGACCCTCCGTTCACAGTTATCCGGAGTTGACCACGTCAGTACGAGGTTCAACCGTGAGGCCCGAGTCCTTCAATCAATCCTTCCACTCGTTTAAGTCCATCCAAAGATCTCACTCCCAGATCTGAAAGGGAATGTTCGATCCGACTCACACCCCGTTGTGTCCCCACTGTGCCCTCGACCACGACTCTGACCAACTCGCGGAAACTCTCCTTGTTTTCCGCGGACAGCCGCTCGTAAATCTTCTGAGTGGACAGCCCTCCAACTTTGTGGTAGATCAAGCCAACTCCAAATCCAATCAGGAGGAACCCTGCTACCATAAATCCAAAAATGTATATATCCTCAATGTCCTCGATGGACAGTCCCGACAGACAGACGGGGTGCCACTTTTGCCAGTTGTCAAAAACGTACCCAGCAGCCGCCGTACCGTCCGGGCAGACGGCATCTCCAGAACCGCCTTTACGTGATGAAAAAATAGTATCAATTGCGTTGAGAGACCAGTTGATTAATTCCATCATTTTTCAAGTTGTACACAGGCAGAACTCTAGGAAAAAAAGACAGTCAGGGCAAGCAGCAGGAGCAGGGGAGAGACACGTCTGACCTCGAGGAGAGCAGGAGAAGAGATATATACATCGAATATATTCTAATGTTTTAATGAATACATTCGGATGCGAAACAAGCAGTATTCTTTTACCTATAAATTGTGTTAGCAGTGCGTTGCTTTAGTACCATTTCATCTGTGATTGTTGTAAAGCTTACAAGAAGTTGTGCTAATGCTAATGTTAGCATACATGTCAGATCGCAAATTGAGCTAGATGGCTCTGTGTTATGAGAGCGAAGGGGAAATGAGAAGCCATTGAGCGAGTTGGGGGGGGCGGTGCTAAACATTCGAACCTTGCAGAAACGGGTATAGCGCCTTTAAATAAACTTCCAGAGTTTGGCGCACCACGATCCGTCTCTGTCCGGTTAATCACCGAGGTGAAGTTGGCCGAACGTTTGATATTCGCCTGATATTCGCAAGGGACCGTCTGCAAATTGCAAGAGGTCAAAACGACTAATAAAGACTAAAAATCAACAAAGATATTTCTCCCAGATTTGATGGGTGTAGTAGCTCCCAATGGTGTAGGTTTGGTTCCAATCTTGGTGGGGACATTCACTACGACCTGAGTCTACACCCATTGACACGGGGTCCAGAGTTTCTCCCCCAGAATTTGTTGTGTAATCACACACTATATTTGCGATAGTGTGTTGCCTTCTATACTAAACTCAGCTGTAGACTGAATGAGAAGCAGTTATGTATGTTAACAGAAGATTAATCATCACAATTCATAATTTGCTATTACTTGTGCTTTCTCTTACTTACTTTCCAACTGTTAAAAAAGCTCCTGATATCTTTTATCTTATTTGTGGAGGTGGCATTTTTTCTAAATTATATAAGAAGGTATAGACAATCAAAAACAGACATTCATATACATGAACTGCAGAATCATTTATATAACTTGGCCAATGTCAAAAGTTACATAGTATTTCTCAATACAATGAGTTAACAAGAGTTTGGCAATAAGTAACAGTGTGGATTTTTCTATATTTTCTTTTTTTTATTCCACTCTCTACCCAAAAAGGCAAGTAATGACTCACAGGGCTCTCAAGTATGCAAAATAAAAACTTAAATGACCTGTTGTGGTGTGTTTTGCGCACAACCAGCATGCATCGTTAACGCAATGGAAAATTTACGTATCCGAGCTTTAATTTCGGGAGCGCTGGTTGCGCTTTGGGAAGAGTCAGGGGAGAGACATGTCAGAGACACAGGGGAGAAACGGGGGAGATACGAGGGAGACCCGCACTTGCAACATGGTTCTGTCTGCATATGGTCCGAGCTCGGTACAATGTTAGAGCTGTGCTTTCACTGAGCGCCGCGGCTGTCATTACAAAGTGGCAGCAGCTGCACCAGGACGTGCACATTCGAGTGCATCGCTTGAATGTGCTTAGAGCAAATAACAGCAAGTGCCCGCTGTCACACATTTCACAGAAATTACATTATCAGCAGATAAAGGTTGTAAATCGTGGATCCGTGGAATATTTTCATCCCTAGTTTATCCTGATTCACACAACACACCCACTTATACATTTTGGATAGTAAGAGCACAATAAGTATTTTTTCAGCCTTTCAACCAACCTGTTTCTTTATTGGAGCCAGTTCTGTTCTGTCTCTGTGCCGTGTGAGCTCCTCAGAACATTAAACAGTGCGCTGACAGATTAGAAATAACGTAAGTACTTTGAATGGTAATAGATCTACAGTACTTTCCTCTGATTACTCACGTGCTACAACGCTCAGGGAACGAAATAAAACACTTGCTTCACGCTGGCTAACTTTAAAAAATTAAACAGTCGCTCAGTGCTTCAGTTTGGCGCTGAAGAAGACAGCCAATCACTGCAGAGAACGGAACGGGTCACGTGCTGCTGCTGCTGTTGCTCTGGAGGCGAGGAGGAGGCGCGACGTATGCACAAACGGAAGACATGTGTCCCGGACCGTCCGGGTCCCGGGACATCATGTCATTTTGGTGGGGACTTTTTAGTCCTCACCAAATATTGGTGGGGACATGTCCCCATGGTCCCCACGCAAACCTACGCCCTTGGTAGCTCCATTTGAGCAATAGCTAGCTACTACAGGCAAGAATTTGGGAATTTTTTTGTTTTCCCCTTCACAGTAACGAAAATGAATTTGGAAAAATTCACTAAAAATCAACAAAGATATTTTTCCCAGTTTTGATGGGTGTAGAAGGCTCCATTTGAACAATAGCTAGCTTCTACAGGCAAGAATTTGGGAAAATATTGTTTTCCCCTTCACAGCAACAAAAATGAAATTGGAAAAATTAACTAAAAATCAACAAAGATGTTTTTTCCAGTTTTGATGGGTGTAGTAGCTCCATTTGAGCAATAGCTACTACAGCCAATATTTTTGCGAAAAATATTGTTTTCCCCTTCACAGCAACAAAAATGAAATTGGAAAAATTAACAAAAAATCAACAAAGACTTTTTTCCCAGTTTTGATGGGTGTAGTAGCTCCCAATAAATGATAGCCTGCTACTACAGGCAAGAATTTTAGATTTTTTTTGTTTTCCCCTTCACAGTAACGAAAATGAAATTGGAAAAAATCACTAAAAATCAACAAAGATATTTTTCCCGGTTTTGATGGGTGTAGTAGCTCCATTTGAACAATAGCTAGGTACTACAGGCAAGAATTTGGGAAAAAAAATGTTTTTCCCCTTCACAGCAACAAAAATGAAATTGGAAAAATTCACTAAAAATCAACAAAGACTTTTTTCCCAGTTTTGATGGGTGTAGTAGCTCCCATTCAATGATACCTAGCTACTACAGCCAACATTTTGGGAAAAGTTTTGTTTTCCCCTTCACAGTAGGAATAATGAAATTGGAAAAATTCACTAAAAATCAACAAAGATATTTTTCCCAGTTTTGATGGGTGTAGTAGCTCCCATTCAATGATAGCTAGCTACTACAGCCAAACTTTTGGGAAAAATATTGTTTTCCCCTTCACAGCAACAAAAATGAAATTGGAAAAATTAACTAAAAATCAAAGAAGATAATTTTCCCAGTTTTGATGGGTGTAGTAGCTCCAATTGAACAGTAGTTATCTACTACAGGCAAGAATATGGAAATAAATATATACAGTGGGGCAAAAAAGTATTCAGTCAGCCACTGATTGTGCAAGTTCTCCCACTTAAAATAATGAAAGAGGTCTGTCATTTTCATCATAGGTACATTTAAACTGTGAAAGACATAATGTGAAGAGAAAAAAAATCCAGGAATTGACATGTTTTAAGAATTTATTTTTAAATTATGGTGGAAAATAGGTATTTGGTCAATAACAAAAATTCAACTCAATACCTTGTAATGTAATATAACTAGGGCTGTCAAAATGATCGCGTTAATTCACGTTAATTACCGTTTTCATTAACGCGTAAAAAAATAATTAACGCATTAACTGCCATGGACGTGTTAACACGTTAATTGCATTTCCGCTATTTTCACGTTCCCAGATGTCTATTGTATCAGATATGTATAGGCTTGAGGCAATATTTTATCGAGCCAGCAGATGGCTGCATTGCTCTATGAAGGGTTTGAAAACAGCTAGATGCACATGTGCCTCTTTTTTCTCAGCTTTCTGGTGATTTGAATAAAACGTACCTCTACTCGACTGGGGGGGGGACGAAACAAGCTAGATGAAAGTAGACAGTCCATTCTTTCAGAATCTGGTTCTGGATTTCAGATAGTCTTGGTACACAATATTCTATGGGTCTTGAAAATTCAGTAAAAATCATCGGAAACGGCTGGCAATATGGGATTCTCTGATGTTGTGTGACACACAGAGGAGAGGAGGAGACACGCTGAAATGCAACCAAACTCGCAAAATTAAAGCTGGGGTACCTACATTTTCCTTTTCATTAACAGCTCTTGTTGGTTGTACCCAAAAGTACTGTAGAAGGTTGTGAGCAAGTCAAACAGATTTAAGTACATTTGGTATGAATAACAATGTGTCATTACATTTGAAAATATCATTTAACTTCAATTGGGGTGGATTTGAAATAGAATGTTAAAAATGCGATTAATCGTGAGTTAACTCATCATTACTATGCAATTAATCAACTAAAATTTTTTTTATCATTTGACAGCCCTAAATATAACCTTTGCTGGCAATAACAGAGGTCAAACGAGTACTATAGGTCTTTATCAGGTTTGCACACACAGTAGCTGGTATTTTGGCCCAACTCCCTCCACGGATTTTCAATCGGGGGTTGAGGTCTGGAGACTGGCTAGGCCACTTTCAAATGCTTCTTACGGAGCCACTACTTCGTTGCCCAGGCGGTGTGTTTGGGATCATTGTCATGCTGGAAGACCCAGCCACGTTTCATCTTCAAAGCTCTCACTGATGTAAGAAGGTTTTGGCTCAAAATCTCACAATACATGGCCCCATTCATTCTTTCCTTAACACAGATCAGTCGTCGTGTCCCCTTAGCAGAAAAACAGCCCCAAAGCATGACGTTTCCACCCCCATGCTTCACAGTAGGTATGGTGTTCTTGGGATGCAACTCAGTATCCAAACACGACGAGCTGAGTTTATACCATATTCCAATTTCCTTTTTCGTTACTGTGAAGGAGAAAACAATATTTTTCCCAAAAGTTTGGCTGTAGTAGCTAGCTATTGTTCAAATGGAGCTACTGCACCCATCAAAACTGGGAAAATTATCTTTGTTGATTTTTAGTTTATTTTTCCAATTTCATTATTCCCACTGTGAAGGGGAAACACATTTTTTCTCCCCAAATTCTTGCCTGTAGTAGCTAGCTATCACTTATTGGGAGCTACTACACCCATCAAAACTGGGAAAACTGTCTTTGTTGATTTTTAGTGCATTTTTCCAATTTCATTTTTGTTACTGTGAAGGGGAAAACAATATTTTTCCCAAATTTTGCCTGTAGTAGCTAGCTATCATTCAGTGGGAGCTACTACACCCATCAAAACTGGGAAAATTTACTTTTTAAACAAACCCTTTTTATTGTATTCACCAACCCATCTGCAACGTTCTGTCAAATGTTGCACTTTGCAGACAGTCCCTAGTTGAGAGCTTAGCACACGTACGAGCGGAGACTTCATCTTCATTGTTTTTCGTGTTATAAATCGTCAGCTGCAGCCTAAGTCAAGTTTTTTTTTGATAGGTGGCAACATTGTGAACAGTATTTAATACCACACTCTTCACTCAACTGAAAATACGGACATACTTTGAATCCAGGGGGATTAAATACTGTTCACAATGTTGCCACCTATATAAAAAAAAACATTACTTAGGCTGCAGCTGACGATTTATAACACGAAAAACAATGAAGATGAAGTCTCCGCTCGTACGTGTTATAAGCTCTCAGCAAGGGACCGTCTGCAAAGTGCAACATTTGACAGAACGTTGCAGATGGGTTGGTGAATACAATAAAAACTGCTTTTAAAAAGTAGTTTTTCCCAGTTTTGAATATAATACATTCATGGGTGTAATAGCTCCATTTGAACAATAGCTAGCTACTACAGGCAAGAATTTGGGAAAAATATTGTTTTCCCCTTCACAGCAACAAAAATAAAATTGAAAAAAATCACTAAAAATCAACAAAGACATTTTTCCCAGTTTTGATGGGTGTAGTAGCTCCATTTGAGCAATAGCTAGCTACTACAGGCAAGAATTTGGGAAAAATATTGTTTTCCCCTTCACAGTAACAAAAATGAAATTGGAAAAATTCACTAAAAATCGACAAAGATATTTTTCCCAAATTTGATGGGTGTAGTAGCTGCCATTCAATGATAGCTAGCTACTACAGGCAAGAATTTGGGAAAAATATTGTTTTCCCCTTCACAGTAACGAAAATGAAATTGGAAAAATTTACTAAAAATCGGCAAAGATATTTTTCCCAGTTTTGGTGGGTGTAGTAGCTCCATTTGAGCAATAGCTAGCCACTACAGGCAAGAATTTGGGAAAAATATTGTTTTCCCCTTCACAGTAACGAGAATGAAATTGTGAAAATTTACTAAAAATCAACAAAGACTTTTTTCCCAGATTTGATGGGTGTAGTAGCTCCCATTCAATGATAGCTAGCTACTACAGGCAAAAATTTGGGGAAAATATGGTTTTCCCCTTCACAGTAACGAAAATGAAATTGGAAAAATTTACTAAAAATCGACAAAGATATTTTTCCCAGTTTTGGTGGGTGTAGTAGCTCCAAGGCTTTGTATAAATATATATTTATTTAGTGAAAGTAACTTCAAAGTAATGCTGTAGTAGTATAATGCTTTAGACAGTAATATTGTAGTAACACACTACTTTGAAATAAGGATAAGACACACATCTTAGACTAATGTTTATGAAGTACCTTGCCCAACACTGTTTATGACACTCTTCACAAAATGATAAGGTAATGACAACTGCAAATATAACATCAGTCCACTAAAGTGACAGAAAAAAATTGCCTTTAGTTCCTCTGGATTAAAACAACTACTGTTGGGCTTTAGGGATGTACAAAAATAAATGGATTTGAATTGATTACTAGCAAAAACAAAACATGGGATGTGTTGTATAATTCTGATTTGACCAGGATGAAAGAAGAGTTCCCATCTAAACATTTATTTTTCATTAAAAACAGTGTTTAGTCTGGTACCATGTTCCAGACTCTTCTGTTAGATTAGCTTCACTTTAACCACAGTTAATAGTTTATAATAATAATAATGATAATGATAATAACAATAATAATAATCTGATTACCACTCTCGTTTACTGAAAAAAACAAAACAAATCGCCAGTTCAAATGGTCTGGGTTAACCACGACCATTCTGGGACGCTATAGTGATTGTCAATCCTCTCTTTGATTTCGATGCTCCAGACCAGGATGTGATTTAGATCGATTTAGGTTTTCGTAAAAACTAGGTTTTTACAAGCTGTAAACCATAATAATCCAAAAATGATATCTTAACATATGTCATTTTTGTCATTAGTTTCTATCTTATACAATTACTATCATTTTTTAGTATTTCTTGTCGACTCTCTTATTTCTAAAATTAAATTTCTGACTACAGCAGTTTGATTGTTCCTTCCACAGCTGTGCCACACAACTGCTGTGTTCTCTTCACAGTCTCAATAGCTCCGCGGTTGGGACTTGTTCCAAGGTCTCGGTGGTCTGGGTGGTCTAGGACTAGGTTATACCGGTGATCTCGGTGGTCTCGAAGACTTGCTTCGGCGCTAGGACCCAGGGGCCAGCTGCGCCAGACACCGGTTGATGAGACGCTCCGGTCTGAGGCAGTGCGCTCTCATCACTGACAGACAGAGACGTGCGGTCTATGGTGCTGGTCCTGCACAGAGACACATAGACACAGAGACACTGACACTGAAGCCGTGACAAGTTCCCACGAGGCTGTGGGGGACCGGTCCGGGACCAGCGCACACTGCACAGGCCACAGGTGACCAGCAGAACCGCCTCACCATGAGCAGCCAGAGGTTCACTGTGTCCAAGAGCCAGGGCGCACCGCTCTCCTCCGACAGCCTGGACCAGGAGCAGGACCAGGAGCAGGGAGAGGTGAACCAGCTGTTTGAAGGAGACGAGCCGCCTGCTTCCAGCCCCACTGAGCCGAGAGAGCCGGGAGAGCCAGCCGCGGTGGTCGTGGTGCTCAAAGGTACATCAGTCTGTCACCGGTGAATGCGCTGTTGGTTAGCACTAGGCTAAAGCTAGCTGTAAGAAGAGTCTGCATGGACAGATGTGTGTGACTGGAATCCTGAGCAGGCGCAGGGAGCATGGTCTGGGCAGATGCTTTGTTATTGCATTCAAACACATTCTCTCATATGAGGAAGATCGCGTTACAAGTGGTTGAAAAAAAGACACAAAACATCCGTTATGTTTGTTACTAATGGTGCACAGTCTTTCATTGGGATTAAGATTGCTGCTAGTGCTACAACTCATCTATTTTTTATTCTGCTTTAGCCTATATAGGAGCTTAGCTTCTTAAAGGCGTCACACAGATGTGGCCTGCTGTCGCCCTATGCAGATGCTCTCAGTTCTTTTCGACTAAAGGATTTGTATAATAGATCCAGCCTAGAGGCCTAATGCTGTCTTATATGTTTATTTGTCTTTTGTTTTTTCATTTTTCGATGATAGACTTTCCTTGTTAGAGACTCTGACATTTAAATACCAGATTAGACTGAATCAGATGCTGGTTGATACATCACAGGCAGCTGACGTGTAATTTTAAACATAACCAGTAATTTTTGCAACAGGAAATTAATGGTGGTAATGGGTATGTAGACGTTCATTCATTGTTTTTTCTGCTGGATCTAAAAGTCCATTACCTCTGAAGAAGATGACATAGTCTGGGATTGTGTCTTAAATTCAGACAGAAGACATGTTTTATTGTCAATGGTAGAGACAGCACAAACAACATGAACACAGATACAACAGAATGCAAGTGTATTATACAGAGCGGAGGCATGGAGACCTCAAATCAGCAGCTTCCACAGTGCCATGTAGCTTGGCCTTCAGATAGACAAAACAAGGGTAAAGTACAGGCTTCTGCACATTGATAGAATGATGAGTTTAACTTTAACAAAAGTTGCTTAAAAGTGTTATGAAATCTCACACCTCTATGCTTCCTATTCACTTTTTGATTATTAATGCTTTGTAATCAAATAACACCTTCTCAGACTTTTTCATCGCACTGTTTGATTGTACATTATGTTATATTTTCTTTGGCAACTGGTTTATATTATTGGTTTACATATGTTTTGTTGTTTGTAAGTGATCACTATGCAACATGTTCGAACCCTAAATCTCAAGCTTCATTGAATGCTGGACTAAATATACTATATATCATTACCTCTATGAATCGTCGTCTTGGGACACTTCTTTTTAAGACAGTACCACTCTTTATTCTATCTCGTTTGATTGTTGTCATGGTGACACATCTGATGTTGAGCCGATACGAAACCTCCTGACAGCTGCCCTGGGGCACGTTGACAGAAGCGAGGCAACCAGTGTGTGCCATCGGCCCCTTCCACCACCACCACCAACCATTTACACACACGTACACCAGACTAATTCTAATGTGGGTGAAGTGTCTTGCCTTAGGACACAACCACAGTTTGTCACTTTACAGCCGCAGGCGCCCCACTGTGGCACCTGGTGTTGCCAGAGGTCTCCCATCACAGTACTAACCAGGCCCTGTCCTGGACTGCTTCAGTGTTCTGACGGGGTCTGGCTTTCACCAGCTGTGGGGATTTGTCCTCTGTGTTTGCCCCGTCCACTCGGACACTGCCACTCGGGCCTCCTGTCAGGAGAAGTGGTCCACTTTCCAGATGCTGATGCTCGACTTCCATGTCTTACATTTTTTTTCTTTTTTTTGTGGAAATGAGCTGTTTAAAAAACAGATTGAGGTGGGGAGGAAGCTGGATATCCCCCTTTTTGTTTTGAATGGGAGGGACCTGTAACTACACCCTGATGGAAGCAGACTCAAAACGCCCAGGAAAGCCTTGTGTCCTCTCTCTTTCACTGAGCGTCGCACACATGTCGCTGTACCTTAGCCTCTCCGAGAAGGCGACCTCTTCAGAAGAACTGTATTTTTCATCCAATTCTTTGACCGCCACATAGGACATCTTACATCAATGCAGCCCCAGTAAAGACATAACATTTCCATACATTCTCTCACTTCGCTCTTTCCTCCCTGTAATGTCATTAGTAGCTGTATTCTACTTTCGGGAGCCATATTGATTTGTAATTGTCCTCGTCATTAAATGCCATTGCTTCTCTGCCATCCCTCAACCTGCTGCTCCGCTTTCTGTCAAAGGGGAAGCATCACTGCAGTTTTAATCAATATTTCTCCAGCAGCTTCAGGATAACCTTGTACATTTATTATAAAGCGCACTGTTCTGTTATGAACCATTTCTCTGCTCTTTCAGCCATAGACTGTAAAGTGTTCACTCAGACAAACTGAGGCCTTGTCTGCAGTGCAGTGGAAAGGACTCAAGAGGGCAGTCATGGCTTTTCGACTTCCAACCTTATTTCTGAAGCACATTCCATGTAGGATTGTAACTGACTTTTCAACCACAATTTGAATTACATATTAATAACTTTACTTTAACATTTTATAATGTGGCATAAATGACACAACACCACAAAAGTGATTACTACTTGATCCTAGCATTCATTACCTCATATTTTCTGCTAAAACTGTATCTTAATCTCTCAATACCCTCATGTATTTTTGAACAATGAAAAATATATAAAAAATCATGAAAGTAGAGCATTTTAGTCAAAACATGCAGCAACAAGGTGATTTCTTTATCTCAAACATTTAGTGTGACGCTAAATGTGGCTGTTATTTAGTTCAATAAAATTATGTTTTACAGGTTTCTGAAATAAACACCTTGATTGATTGAGTAAGTAGTCAGATGAGATCAGTGAGGGTCTGGGGTTTCCACACAGAGACTCAGACGTCTCATAAGTTTTCTATTGGATTCAGATAGAAAGTGTAGGCTTAATTTCAGGTATAAACTGTCATCATTACAGAACAGCAGCAATGACTGATGTAATTTAGTAAGTAAAGCTCTATTAGTCAGGCATCTACATCTACTGCATCACTTTTAATTCTGAGCCTTAAGGGGATCCCAGTCTTTTAAAAATGTTGCAATTTTTTTTTTTACTTTTTATAATCATTTTATTTGTAGCGGTGGCAATTGGCAAACATTTTACTATTTGATAGTATTGCAATATTTCGGCCACAATTCAATAATATTGGCATTCTCAATCTCAACGTATTATGATTTGGACTACTATACTCTGCTCTACTGTATCAATTTAATTATCTGGACAAAGTATCACGATACTGAACAGAATTGTTTTTTTTCCCCCCACCACTAATACTTTGGAATGCTGTTTGTATGACATGTGAAGTCACAATAAAAGTAAGATGGAAGAAAGTCCCTGCAGCTCAGCGATTCCTCTTGGTTATGTAACGTATGCAAACGCATTGAAAAGAGATTGTAGGAGGGGGAGGAGTGTTCATCTAGAGTATATGATAGAGTTTGAAGGGTCAGGATAAAAATTTATACAAAGTGACAAAATCCTGCTCATGTGCAGGCAGGCCACAGGGCAGACCTCTGTGACTCAACAGCAGAGAGCACTGCTGAAAGATTTCCCTCTACTAGGGGCATTTCCATTCTCAGATCCAGACAGTGTCTGAGATTGATTTGTTCGGTGTCTCTTTCCCGACAGATATTTACTGAAAATTACTCAGTTTAACACACAAAAAATACAACCTAAATATCTTCCTCACATCATTAAGAAAGTCTGATATGATGCAACAAGAACTTCTCCACATTTCAATCTGGAGAGACGAGGAAACAAGAATGCCTTTGAAGTATTTTATTGAGAGGTAGTTTGGCGCCCTAGGCCCCGGTGCGGCGTTCAGTCAGCAAGGCTATATACTGTGACCGCTATATACTGTGACCGCTATATACTGTGACCGCTATATACTGTGACCGCTATATACTGTGACCGCTATCGCTATATACTGTGACCGCTATCGCTATATACTGTGACCGCTATATACTGTGACCGCTATATACTGTGACCGCTATATACTGTGACCGCTATATACTATATATATGCTCACCTGCTGCCGCCACCAGGAAGTTTGCGAGTGTTTTATGGAGATGCCAAGAGACGCTGGGCTGCCAGAATAGTCGGAGTGTCAGGCCTGATGTATGAGGAGAGGGCCGATGATGACCAGCGCCCCAGCTGCTGAGGGCAGAATGGGGAGACCCAGGGAAGCGGCGCGCGTGGCAGCGCCTATCCGAAAAGAGTGAGCAGTGTAGAGATGAGGGGACAAGTTACAAAGCAGCAGTACAGACTTGATTTGGGCTCTGAACCAGTTTGATGTCATGGGGAGGTTATCGGGAGTGAGGAATAGCGGTCCGTTGAGATCTCCTTTCCGAGAGCGGAGGCGAGTGTAATGCATCATGGATCTGTAGGGACAGGGAGAAGTGTCAGAACGAGCTATGACTATGTTGCAAGCGCCTTTGCGTTTGGAATGCTTTGAGGGAAAGCGTCGGGTCGGGGCCCGGCGAACCACTGGTCCTGGAAAACCCCCAAAACCCGAAGAACCGCAGGGCATCTGAGGACAGGATGACGTCACTGTAAAAAAAAAGATACACCATCCCAGCGGCTCAGCAGACGGGACCAGAACGCCAGGTCGGAGCGGCACCCCGCCTCCGGGCAGACAGCGTCATTGAGGGAGGAGACGGAGCCAGCGAGGGAGAGGAGTCTGGAAATAAAAGAACGACCTTGGGGAATGACACGGATGGCATAATTAAGATGCCCGAGGAGGGAGAGCAATGACGCCTCGAAAGTGACGGGAAGGACAAGGCAGACAGGGAGAAAGCGCGGGTGCGCCCAAGCTTGTCCGGCGGGAGGGAGGCCTCCATGGCGCGTGTGTCGAAGCGGATGCCGAGAAACTCCAGAGCGGTGGCGGGGCCTGTGGTCTTCTCGGAGTGAAGGAATCCAAGGGCAGAGAAGGCGAGCTTGAGCTTGCGGAGAGAGCCCCCGGAGCAGTCTGAGGGTGGGTTGACTACGAGGGAATCATCGGGGAGATGCAGGACAGAGGGGTGCCGCGCGTAATTAAGCAGAAACCGACACGGCGCCTCCGAGAGATTGTTGAACGAGAGGGACTACTCCGGCAGTCAAAGGTGAGGCGCACTGCGAAGAAGAACTCTGACGCCACTTGACCCCTGAACAGCGGCAGTGGTCGGGATGGATGGGCAGCAGCTCGAACGCGTCCGGGATGTCGGCCTTGGAGAGCCAGGAGCCGGGGCCGAAAATCTTTATCAGCCTGACCGCGAGGTAGCGGACTGCAGGGAGAAGGGCGCTGGAGGCAAGGGGCTGTTGATGCTCGGGGCGGGCCCGGAGCGGGGACAGGAGAGGACAAATATGAGACGCTTCTTCCTGGAGTGCTTGCGGGTGGCGATGCCCATCGGGTTAGAGCGAGACGAAGAGAAGGGGCCAATGACGTAGCCCACGGACACCTCCCGCGCCCGAGCCGCGTGACGACTTGGGGCCCACGGAGAGCCGGGAAGAGGTTGCGGGACACGAGACGCCGAGGGACCTAAACAGAGCTTGCAGTCCAATGTGAGGGATTTAAACAGAGCTTGCAGTCCAAAGGGAGGGATTAAAACTGAGCCCGCAGTCCAAGTGAGGCGTTTAACTGAGAGCCTGCAGTCCGGTGTGAGGGAGTTAAACGACCTGTAGTCCAAGTGAGGGATTAATACTGAGAGCTTGCAGTCCAGTGTGAGGGATTCAAACATTGCCCGCAGTCCTAAAAGAGGGATTTATAACTGAGAGCTTGTAGTCCAAGTGAGGGATTAAACCGAGAGCTGCAGTCCAGTGTGAGGGATTTAAACAGAGTTTACGGTCCAAGTGAGGGATTAACTGACTTTTTTGTTTTGTTTTTGTTATATATAAGCAGTTCCAGATATAAGCAGTACCAATATATGCAGTTCCATATACTGTATAAGCAGTTCCAGGTATAAGCAGTACCATATAAGCAGTTCCAGGTATAAGCAGTTCCAATATGAGCAGTTCCATATATGAGCAGTTCCATATATAAGCAGTTCCATATATAGCAGTTCCATATATAAGCAGTTCCATATGTAAGCAGTTCCATATATAAGCAGTTATGGAGCTTAAGCGGAGGTTCAGTATGGTAGACTACCTACGTTATCCCACCAAGCTTGACCACGCCTTACTCAGCCTGTCTTAATCAACTCCCCGCAGTCTGACACTGCCCGTTGGTCCTTTTCACTCGAGTGATAGTGGTTCGAGGTTTCTCTTTTCAGCTTCGCAGGAACGCGATGCCGCAATGCCGCACCAAAACTCTGCTACAACGCCGCGACGGTGGCCTGCTGCAACGCTGGCCTGCTAAGACTGCATGAGTACTGTTCGGCGTGGCCTTCAAACCTGGCCGGCTATCTTCCCCAGGCCGCACTCATTGGCTTTTGGGTGCAGCACTGCCCGCCACGGTTTGCGTGCACTCTGAGTGGCTGTAGGCGGTGCTCCTTCTCATGTTCCCCAGGCATATTCTCTCCTGGTCTCCTGGTGCGGCTCCTGCCGCCGGGCCTGTCTCACGCTTCGCCTTACCTGACGCACCCTGGCCCTCATTCTGACCGGGCCCTTGTGCGTTGGTTTTTGGGGGTCCAGAGATCTCCTATCGAACATCAATCTTCCTGGATAAGTGTACTTCATGAATCTCATTTTCACCTTCTAGTCTCCCCAAGTGGAATCATGTTCGAATATCAGCGCTCTAAACACCAGCAGTTCATCCTTCATTCAGCATTCTCCTTTCCCTCTCACTGCACACTCTCAGTCTCTGGACATCAGCATCGCGGGTACTGCCGTCACTGCCTCATCTACATCGGCATTAAATACATTCTCTAAAATCCACTTCGAGTCACACTGCTCCACCCTCATAAGAAGATCCTTAAAGGAGTATTGGCAATGGTCCTTGTTCTGTAGTTTAGGTCCTGGACGACTAGCCTGTCTGTCCGTGGAGTGGATTCCCTCTCTCAATGTAGGGTCTTCCGAAGGTTTCTCACTTTTTTCCCCACAGGGTTTTTTGAGTTTTCCTTGCCATGCAGGAGGGTCTGGACAGTTAGTGTCCAACTAGAAGGCCCGTGGTGATGATCCAGGATACTTTAACATGCTACAACATCTATGGACATTTTATCAACATTCATAGACTATAATTACTCCTTAAACAATCCCTCGACGACCCCCTGGTCTGAACAAATTCAAAACCTCTGCTCCCTGCATGTAACCTCTCTTCCTTTCTCTACACCCGCCACTCCTTCCGGATAGGAGCAGCCACTTGGGCTGCTGCCCTGGGACTCCCTCAATCATCTCTCCAGGAGCTCGGTCCCCGGTTCTCTACCACATTCATCC